GAAAGATCCAGGCATTGTTCTCTCTGCCAGAGATCTTGTCCTGGAGGTGGCCACCCACTGTACTGTATGGCTGCTCAAACATCTTGTCCTACTTACAGGGCCTTGGAGACAAAAGTGACCGTGAGAACTAGGACTTGTCTACTCCAGGCCTTCTAAAGAAGTTTGGGAACAGACAACCCAAAATCCTCATCCTTGTTCATTTAAGTGAGGAAAACTTTTTTTAAAGCTGACAGGAAAGAAATGAATAACTAAATTATTCCAGAGTTTTGTAAGACAACCAGAGCAAGTATATCACTAATGATTGGATGGTTATAATAGATTAGGCAGGAAATAAATTTTTTTCAGCAAACTTTTTTTAAAAATCAGAATTCTCTCCTCAAAGATTTGTTGTTGTGTTTGTTTTAAAGACATTACCTAGTTGTAGTTAAATCTGCAACTTAAGTAGAATTGCTTAAATAGAATTCTTGGCTAAAATTGTCAGTGCTCCCACTCAGGAGGGCAGGCTGAAAATGGCTGATTTACCCTCCCTGGGTAAAGCAATGTCTTGAATCTTGACTGACCCCTACAGGCTCACATGCTAAAGGCTTGATTCCTACCTGCACTGTACAACTGGGAGCTGGTGGAACCTTTAAAATCAAAAGGAAGTTCAGTCATAAAGGTCATGCCTTCAAGGGATAGTAGGACCCTAATGCCTCTTCGTCTCTCTCTTTGTTTCCTGGCTGCCATGAGGTAAGCAGCTTCGGCACCACAAATTCCTTGCCATGATGTGTTGCCTTGCCATAGGCCCAGAAGCACACAGCCAGCCATGGACTGAAAACTTCAAAACACTCCAATTTTCCTCCTTTTAAGTTGATTATTTCAGGTATTTTGCTACAGTATTAGAAAGCTGATTGCCACAGATACTCTGATGGAGGGCAGGGAGTGGAAACCAAGGAGTTAGATCCAGACATGGATCCTGCCAATAAGATGCATAGTAAATATTTCACCTATAAGACCCTCCCAGCAAACCACATCATTACCACCAAAAAAAAAAAAAAAATACAAAAAAAAAAAAAAAAAAAGAAAAGAAAAAAAAAATCAGCACTTGGATGTTTGTTATACCCAAAACATAGGATGATAGTTTCAGCAGTAAGAGACATTTGTCCCTCTCCTTATTTCCATCATTCCCAACATAATACTCCGGACAATCCAAAAACCCAGAATAGCAAGTCTTCTACAATCAGACAATTCCTTCTTGTCATGCCAAGGCAAGGTAGTGGATTTTCCATCTCCCAAGACTTTTACGCCAAAGCACTGCTGTGGGCGAGGGGAAGGAAAGGAGAATTAGAGTTGCTATTCAAGATTTAATTTGGATGAAGTTTCTGAAAACAGAATTTTATTAAGTAGTTGGGGAACCTGCCCACATTGTCAGTGTAGAGTAAGCAAAGGGAGATTTAGCAGAGATTCACTGGAGAAGAGATAGGGCCGGCAGGTGGAGGAGCATAACTGGGCCCCAGGCAGGCGCTGGACCCACAAATACAGCTCCAGAGTAGCCAGATCTTCTGATATTTTAAGATGAGCCAGAAAGGTGGATTTTGATTTGAAATTTCACCTACTTCCAAAAGTCAACATGCTATCTAAAATATGTTAAAGCTGTAGTTCTGAGGGCATCTCTGAGATAATACTTTGCCCAATTCTAGGCCAAAAAGCCTCATTTATTCAAAGGGGGTTGTTATGATTTAGATCTAAAATGTCCCCCAAAATTCTTAGTGTGGTGGGGAGGTGACTAGATCACAAGGGTCCGACATTCATCAGCAGATCCCTCTCTTTATAAGTTCAGCAGCTGAGTGTGCAGCCTGGAGATAGGACCTGGATGGAGGTGGTCACTGGGATGTGGCCTGGAGGGGTGCATCACCCTCCCCATCCCCTCACTCTACCTCCTGGCTGCCCTGGCTGGAGTGCCTCCTCCCCTGCCATGCACCTCTGCGACCCTGTTTCTGCCTTGGAGCCAGCTGATCATGGACTGAAACTGTGACCCAAAATAAGCCTTCCCTCCTTTCCCTTGTGGGTAGTTGGATATTCTTGTCCAGCAACAGAAAAGAAAAATGCTGAATAAAAAGGAAAGTAGAGAGCAACATTATGGTGGGAGCACATGCAAGAGCAAAATGGTCACATCTCAAACGAGTAGAGAGGGCTGGGGATTTAGCTCAGGTGCACTCAAATGCAAGGTCCTGAGTTTGATCCACAGTACCAAAAAACTAACCCTCAAATGAGCAGAGAGAGAGACTAGGTTCCCGCAGTTCCCTTCAAGTGGCCTAAGCACTTAAGGATCCCAAAGACTTAAACACCTCCCACTAAGTCCCACCTCTTAAAGGTCCACAGAAGTTCCCTGTACTGCTGCCCTGGGTATCAAACCTTTATATATAGACCTGGAGGTCACTCAATGCCCACACCATAGCCCTCCCAGGGCTCAGCTTCTCAGTCCCTTGGATTACGAGTTGCTGGGGCAGTCATCTCCACTGGGATCTATGACATATTGCTTCACCTCACTCTGTGTGACTGGGGGCTGTGATCCATTGTGTTCCTGCAGGGCTGAAGAGGCAGAGGTTACCTAGAGGAGGTGCAGCACATGGAGACTGCAGAACCAGGAGAACACACCTGACCACACAAGTGTCTTTCAAGCCTTTGATCACATCATATCATTATCATTACTATTATATTGGCTAAAGCAACTCCTATGGCCATGCCTGAAGCCAAGGGATAGGAAAGTGTATTTTACCAGTGAAGGTGGAATAAAAATGAATATTTATGAACAATTATCTTATCTATCGCACAGACATAACAGAAGTGTGTTCTCCCACTATGTAACTCTACAGGGTACATTATATTTGGCTCTAAAGCTAGATGAGGAGGGGATATACTTACTACCTTGAGCAAGATTGCTATGGCATGAAACAATATTCAGACTCAACAGAATGTGGGAAGATATTCCAATTCCACTGAAATTCTCATAAATTAGAGGTTGCAAGGCTTGTGCTAAAAGGGTTCATTATTTCTTTCTAGCTGTTATATCCAGAGTGCCCATAAGTTACTACCAGGTAAGCATTAGTACCTGATTTATGATAATATGGATTCTGTGGTTAAGCATGCAAATCTCATAAAGATCAGGCATAAAACACATAATTCAGTCATTCATGAATTTTCTACCAGAGTGTAACTTCTGATACAGATAACAACATAAATATTTAACTTCCTGCTATGTAGAAGTGATTCTTTATTCAGCTTCAACTGTTATTAATCACTATTTAATATGGCAGTGGTTTTAGCTTCCAGACTGGAGGTTAGAAACTTTCTAAGAGGTTATTCATGACTTTCAGTATTAGGCCCCATTGCTAAGCTTTAGAGAAGTTTTCTCATAAAAGCCAGTGATTTGCATCTGCAAATAACATGTCTCCCTCTCTCCATCACCTTCGTCCAAGTTTCTATGTGACTACAAAGTATTTATCTCAGAGAGGCCCTTACAACAGCAGTTTTAACATATTTTAGATAGCATGTTGACTTTTGGAAGTAGGTGAAATTTCAAATCAAAATCCACCTTTCTGGCTCATCTTAAAATATCAGAAGATCTGGCTACTCTGGAGCTGTTTTTGTGGGTCCAGCGCCTGCCTGGGGCCCAGTCATGCTGCCCCACCCACCGGCCCACCCACTCCCTGGGCTGTGCACACCCATGTACCCTGCTTAGGCCAGGATTCCTCATTTACAGAGCTGGCTGGGCCCCAGAGAGACCTCAGCACTCCAGTTCCTTCCGTCTTTGTACATCTTTGCATGAATGATGGCCCGTCTCTAGTCATGTGATTTTTTTCTGTGCACCACTTCCTCTCTGCCAAGAGAAGTGGATTGTTCTCTCTCCCTTACATCTCAGTGTAGACTTATCCCGGTCTCATCTATCTTCATAGGTGAGACGACTGTTCCCTGTATCAGCATAAAAGCCAGCGGTGGCTGCTTTTCAACCAGAAGAACATCACCCTGGCCATTATCCAGCCGTCCGGCCACACACCCTTCTCTGTGCACTCTAAATCTCAATGCATTTCAAATTGGACACTCAGGTCTCTGAAGATGATTCTCCACCTTCTTGCCTCCAACTTACATTAAGCAATTTCTAGAAGTGGAGCATTTTCCTTAGAAGTTTGGAAAATCATGATTTTTAAGTAAAACTATACAATGACTTATTTTTTTTTCATACCTACTTCACAGGTTGTTTTCCTCTCTGAAGATATCTAAAAAGTTCCCTACTGACTCAGGAAGGGCCTACAATCCTCCTCTTGTGACCCTTCATGCTATCTTCAAGCTGTAACATTCTTTCCGTCTTCTCATTAATGTCCCCAAATGTTCCGACTGAATACCCAAGGATTTCAAGGTGGATTCAAGAACAATGAGAACTACAGGAGAAGCGCATCTCAGCTGATAACTAAATTCTCTCTTAATCACAAAGTGAGAGATTGAATCAATATGATTTTAGGAAAGGTTAAACACAGCAAAAGGTTAGCATTCTGCCTTGCTTGAAAATGGAGAAAATTATTTTTATTCTGTGAAAGAATCCACGTGTGTCTGTGGCCTCCACTTACCCATGGATTTGCCACGCAAGACATTGCCGTGAGCAAACTAGAGGGGATTTCAGAATCCCAGTCACCTGACGGGAGACCCCCCCCCCAGGCCCCTCTAGGCAGAGGCACAGTTTTAGCAGAGCAGACTTAATGTAGTTGTTTAGACGCATCCCGTGCTCCCGAAGAATCTATTTCTGGCTCTCAGCTTCATTATAAATGTCAGGACATGATATAGTTATGGTTAAAACGGCACTTTCATTATAAGTTCCTCTCGCTAGACACTTGCAGCTTTCTGAATAAATTACCCTTTGGGGATGAAATTTCTCCTCTGCATAAAGGTAAATTGGTTGGAAGGCCAGACAAAATCCAGGTTGTGTTTTTTCTTTCTTTTGTTGGTGTGGTGCAGGACTAGCATACCGGGAGTTTGGATGGAGGCAGTCATTGCCCATGACCAGGCAGGACCTTCTTTTGGGTGGTCTCAGCATTTGCAGTCTCATGGTCAGCTTTATGATCCCTCTAGCAGTGAGCTGAAAGAGAGGGAAGGGGATCCATGGATGAGGGAATAGATCCTGTCCTGGCATGCGGAGTCCCCGTTCTCTGCTCCTGAGGGCTTGGGCAGCTAAGGTTCAAGGCCATTTCCTGGAAGGTCAGAGTTAGTGCTGAGAACTCTGCTTTCATGCGGCTGCTCAGGGCTGTTATCTAGGTGAAAGAGTGCAGGACGAAGAGTCGAGCTCAAACACTGACACCAGGAGGACAGAGAAGCGACCAAGGTGGGAAGCCTGGAGTCAGGATTTTAAAAAATGAAACCAGAAAGAAATCCAGAAGGGTGAAGTGGTACTGAATGGGAAGGACTGTCTTTCTTTGGCCACCACTTCAGCCTATCAATAGGTGCAGACTTTGAGCTCTCTTTCAGAAGGCCAACAGCAATGAGGAGACTGTAAAAAACATAAAGTGATTTTCCAAAGACCAATTTCCATGACTGGAAACCTGTGTGCCTAGATACCATGTTGTTAGCGGGACCCTAAACATCTTATCCACCATCCCAGGAGTCCTAACTCAGAGTGGATGCTTGGAGACAATGCACCTTCTGTGTCATTGTCTAGGCATTCACCCACCTCATCTTTTTTATTTTGGATGGAAATTTTTGAATTCTCTACAAGACAGGATTCAAATAGTAATGATGATTATTTGGAATTATGAAAGATTTTTGGTGAAAGCTTGGATGTCTGAAAACCTTGGGCTGTCTCTTAATCTTCCCTCACCAAGTGGATGTAGAGAGGTGGTTTGCAATGGTTCTCCTTCCACATCACCCCCAGCTGCTATGTTTGAAGGGCTCCCTTATGCCGAAAGAGAAAAATTACTTCTTTCATCCCTGAGGCCCTTATTTCTTCTGTGCTCTGTCTCCTGCCTTCCCTATGCATGTGGATGAATGGTAAATGCCTTTGACACATTTGAATAGACCTGTGTTTGGAATGAATCTCCAAAGCTTTTAAAAACCACCCACTGAACAAGTAAAAGTTGTCTCTCTCACCCTGATAGAGATTTTCCAACTTTTTAATAACAGCATCAAGGTAGAAAATGGGGTGCACTTTGGGCCACCACACTAGTAATGAATATCCAAGGAATTTCTCCTGGCACATTTATAGCCCAAATAAACCCTTTGGCTGGCCTAGCATTCTGTAAAAGTTGACTTATTGGATCTTTGCAGTGGAGGGGGCAGCCCCAGCAAGGTTCTACCTCCCCAGGGTCCAAGCTAAGGCCAGAAGTTTCCACTGCTGCACTGAATTCAAACAACAATAACTCAGCTCCTTACCAGAGAAGCAAGGAAAAAGATTAGGTGGGCAAATACTCCCTTAATTACTTTAAAAGTCCTCTTGAAAACAGGGATTATTTCAGCTATATTATTATGAGAGAAAGGGAGGGACATTGATGGAAACACTTAGATTCTGCTTACATTAAAATACTCTAGAAAAATCCAGGGTCAGAAAATAATGTTTCTTTCTATTTTCAAAGACCAATTAAAATTACTTACTGCTTTAGCATTAAGTGGCGGATTTCTGTGGTCATGAAGGTGGGTTCTGAGGAGCATATGGCAATCATAAGGCCTGTTCCCTGTATCAGCATAAAAGCCAGCAGTGGCTGCTTTTCAACCAGAACATCGCCCTGGCCATTATCCAGCCATCCCGCCTGCATAAATACCATAGTTTTTCCACCCATTGTCCAGTGTTCAAGCCACACAGTAAAACCCATTCAATGCTTGAAGCCCTCTTGATACTCTATGGAAACTCTAATCCAAGTACCAACACTTCCACACCAAAGGGGCACAATTTTTCTAGTGACTCCAGCACCCAATGGCTTATCCTATCATTCTGGTTTTTCCACTTACAAGGCTCCTTAAACTTGGTTCCTGCTCCTGGAACACTAATACTTTCTGCCTACAATGGGTCTGATTCAACCCTGAGGAGTGAGGTCCATTCCATGCCCTCAAGTCTTTCTTGTGACTGCTCATATTTTCGCTGGTATAGTTTGGATATGGTTTCTCTTATTTAAGGGTCAAATGTTGGAATTTGGTCCCCAGTATAATGGCATGGAGAAGTAGTGGGATCTTCAAGAGATGAGACCTAGCAGGAAAGAGTGAGGTCTCATGTGCTGGATTAGTTACCAAGAGAGTGAGCTCTAACAAAGCAAGCTTGGCACCTTCCTGTCTCTCCCATGCTCCCTATGTGTGCACGACTTCCCCTTCCACTTCTGTGCCACGATGAAACATCCTCAAAAGAAGTCAAGCAGATGCCAGCACCATGACCTGGAGCTTCCCAACCTCTAAAACTGTGAGCCAAAGCAAACCTGTTGTCTTTACCAGGCCTGAGGCACTTTGTTCCAGCCACAGACAGCAAGCCAAGGTGCCACTTTTGTTAACTGTAGCTTCATCTTGCCCAACTGAGCTCACACTATCCTAGGAAGGAGCACAAACAGGTCCACTATGGCCATATGTACAGAAGACAGGTAGTTGGAGGGAGTGGCCCAGCCACAGCTTTTTCCATCTCTCTCCATGTGGGATCTCCTTTGGTTCCTGATTACTCCAACGCCCTTTCTGGAGTGGTCACAACATTCCTGGTGGTTCTAAAAGACTTTTGGAAAGCAGATACTGCTTAAGTCACCTCAGAGAAAAGGTTCTTGTGTCTGCATCCAGTTAGTCTCAGTCTTTACAGTACCTCAGAGAACATAAGCCCCACATGAGCTAAAGGTCCTTTGTCGTTAGATACATCCACTCTATTGACAGATGAAGGGAATACAACAGGTAGAGGTGGAAGTGAAGGGAATCATATAAGTCACACATGGGGCCCAAAATGGGCAAGGCATGTGGTCAACAAGGGATCCTCTTGTCTAAAGCCTTGGGCTGATAAAGGAAGAGAAATAGTGAAAAATAAGGCTACACAGAAATGTTGGAGTCCAAAAGTGGAGAATTCTGGGGTGGACAGGGCCATCTGGCCACAAACCATCCGTCCTCACACCAATGTTCTTGGTCTGGGATCACCCAGCTCCTTGCATTATTCAAGGCTTAAGTCCTGACCTTGGAACTGTCCCACATTTTACTTTTCTTAATCTATCCTTAATCTCACTGCTGGCTCATTTTTTGCTTCACACAAAATAAGATCCACATGCTCCTACCCTAGTTCTCTACCAACATTTTTAGACAGTGTTATAGCTTGTGTCTAGATGTCCCCCCACCCCAGATACTTATGCAGTTGTAGGTGGAGCTCTTTAGAGGTGGCTGGATCTACACTGTGTGATGCTGGGATTACAGTGTGTGATGACTAAATTAGTCCACTGATTGATTTGTCATAGTTCTGGGTGTGGATAATGGGAAGGCCACCCTGAGTGTGAGCAGTATCCCACTCTAAGGGCAAGTGGCCTGTATAGAATCCAAGGGATCAAACAAGGGCTGCTACTGTCAAATGCTCCCTTTCTACTTTGCTGCCTTTCTGCCTCCTGCCCACCATGAACTGTTTCTCCTCTGCAGTGCCCCTCTGCCTTGGAGCCAGCCAACTGTGAGCTGAAACCTATACAAACCACAAGCCAAAATAAAACCTTTCCTTCTTTAACTTTGGGTGTTGGGTATTTTGTCTCAGCCATGAGAAAAGTAACTAAGTCAGACAGCTGTATTTTAAAGCAATTTTTAAAATAATAAAATGGCTTAACCTTGGATTATTCCATTTACAGCACTCATTACTGTTCAGATAAATGAAAGTTGCTGTCATATTTCCCTTGCCTTGAGAGCACTCTTTAACCTTTTTTGTAAAGTAGATCCTCTGGCAATGAATTGTGTCAGTTTTGGTTTTCTTTGTTTCTCCCGCACTTTTGAAAGATATTTTCCTAGATATGGAACTCTACTGTCACTCCATTGTCTCCAGCTTTCATGGTTTCTTCCCAGAAGCCTACCATAATACTTACTTTTGTTCTACTAGAGGTGATGCTTGTCTTTATTATCTTTTTGTTCCCAAGATTTTCCTTTTTTGTTATGTTTTCAATTATTGAATCTGATACGCCTAGCAGTGTAGCACCTTTTGAGCTCCATGAATCTGTGGCTTGTTGTCTTTCACCAGTATTAGCAAATCTTTATCAAGAACCCAATACTTCCGTTGGACATCAAGGATGGCCTTGTCTTCTCTCCTTGTTTATTCTATGGAAATAGCTCTCACTCCAGCTGCTCTAATTTGACACCTGGCCTTTCTTCAGGAGTTGGCAAATTAAGTCAGTTTCCAGTTTGCATTGACTTGAACACTCAAAGATGAAGCAGATATATTTTATTTTGCTGATAGTATAGAAACCACATAAGATTTTTGAGTTGGGGGAAAAGTTGTAATTGTATTTTGAGAGGATATACTCAGAATGCAGAGAAAAGAATAAGCTAAAATTGTCAGGTACTAAAAGCCAAGAGAACAATTAAGACACTGGCCTTAACACACTGGCCTAGATGAGAGAGTAAAATTATAGGAGACTGGGGCACTACCTAACACTGGGAGACACTGCAGGGGTCTTAACAGAACTTTTCAAATTAGTAATGAATTATTACCATGCAGAACACTAACAGGAATGCTGAGAAATGTGACATGGTTGAGGAAGTTTTGCCTTTGGAAAAAGTTTTGCCTTTGGCAAAGTTAAACATGTCTCTAAGTTGCAGAATTTCTCATAATCTTTAATATGCTAATATACTCTGTACCCCTCTACAAGGGGATATAATATGTGGTCTCAAATTTATTGACCAAAGAATGCTGTTCTTATAGTGCCTCCAGTAATATCTTCTGTGTTTCATAAGGCATCAGTTTGGGAAATACAGCTCAGCAAAACTGCAAACACCTGAATAGAGTAATAGGGAGCTGGGGAGATAGGGGGATGAAAGAGAGAGAGAAGAAAGTGTTGTCCATACTCCTAGGTTTTTATCCTGGGTAATTAACTGGATGGTGATGTCAAAAGTAAGATAAGAATATGAGAAGAGTAGCAGGCTTGGAGGGAAAGATGAGAAATTCACTTTGGGGCATGAAAATACAGATGCTAAGAAGAAGAATGGTTCTTTGATATTTCCTACAAGAGTGATTCATCTCTGCATAGGAAATTTCCAATTTACTCAATAAAATATAAACCTTGTATCCTCTAAGAGCATTAACTGGAGCAAAAATCTATTCACAGAACAAAAGCTGGATTCCAAAGTCTTCGTCTTAATTCTTAAAATCCCTTTGCCCTCGGAACTCTCTGTGGTATTGATGCTGTGACCATTGCGGCTTCGGGGAGGACTCTGCTCACACTTGACTTACACCCCTGAGCCAAATGGGAAGAATGGCCTTCCCACCAATACTCAATAATGTGGCTCCAAGAGAGCTGGCATTTTATAAAGATTTTGCCTTAACAAAATGAAAGGATTCAAAAGAAATTGGCTATTTCCCCTACAAACTCTTACTTTCTTGACTTCCACTTGGGGCCCACCTGTCCCTTCTCTATGAAGATCATCACGTCCATCACTCAGGAGCAACATGAAAAATAAGGCTACCTCCAAATCTAAGTTCAAAAAGTGACAGTCAATGAGCAGGATGGTGAGTGCCTAACACACAGCGCACAATTAATACTGTTCAGTTAAACCAAATTTTGCTTGGAGAGAGGCCGAGCTTCTTTTCTTGCTACCGTGCCCTCTTCACTGTGGTCTCCTCAACTGGCCTTGTCTTCCTGAGACAGGCAGTAGAAATGGCTACTCTCTTCCCCAGTAACAGGAAGCATAAATCATTGCCATAGATTCCATTTGACTCTGTTCTAAGGCACTTGGTTGACTGTGATTGGCTCTGGTCTGGACCCCAGTGAACTTAAGTACTGGGCTTCATGAATAATTAACTAGATGGTGTTGTCAAAACTGAGACAGAAACATGAGAATAGTAGCAGGCTTGGGGGGAAGGGACCTCACCTGCTGGTTGAGGGTGAGTTAGAAGGGAGATGAAGCAGGCAGGATCATGGCAACCTTGCAGCAGGAGCTCAGTAGCTCATGGGGTCTGGAGGTCCTTTTCTGTGGGCTTGGAGAGGTGAGTCTAAGGGGCTGCAGAGAAGAGAATGAGGAGGCAGAGGTGGGGCAAAAAGAAGTGGGAGAAAAGTACAGAGGGTAGTGGCCCTTGGAGGTGACATTTGCAACAGTATTTCTTTATATCAGATGTTGCAAATGAATAAAGAAAACAAGGGGGGCCTGGAATTTAGCTCAGTGGTTCTGCTGCCTGTCTCACAAGTGCAAGGTCCCAAGTTCCATCCCTGGTACAAAAAAAAAAAAGAAAAGAAAAAAGAAACATGGTACATAATGGTATACTATTTAGTCAGCAAAATGAAGGGACTCCTGACCTTCATGGCAACATGGATGAACCTGGAGATCACACTGTTAAATGAAATAAAACGGGCACAGAAAGACAAATACCAAAAGGTCTCACTCACATGTGTCCTCACTCCCTCTCCCTCTACTCACACCAGTGCGGGATCTGGCCTCACACAACCCACAATGCACATCACGCATGTCAGTGTGCTCACACCTGGCCACTACAGTCACAGGTGACACCTGCCACTTGAAGTAAAACACTCAGGTTGAGACCTATGCTTTATGACTACTGACCAAAATCAAATCCCAGCTAAACCATTTCCTATCTTGTGATCCTGTGTGATTTATCTTTGAGCCTCAGGTGTTTTTTCTTAATCAGGGAAATGGGAGATGTGTATAGAAAAACTCTAAGGCCAGTCCTAGCTCTGGCGGTGATGACTGGCATCCCTGCATACAACCAAGAGGAGAAACTATTGTTTAAAACCCTAGTGAATTCAGGCTGCATTTGCTTTTAAGGGAACTGAGCAGGAAGGTTACCCATATGATCACAAGTAGGTAGTAAAGTCATGGACCCACTGGCTATGGAAAAGAGGGTAGAGCTAATCTGGGGTCTAGGGATTATAGAAAGCAGAACTAATTTGAATAAAAAGACAGAAAATGAATTTGCAGAACTGGCCAAAGATTTCAGCAAAACAAGTCTCCAATGTTCAGCTCTCAATCTTTGTCTGTGGGTTGGAAGCACATTCCTTCCAGCTCACCACATGGTAGCAAAGGCTTTTATGGAAGAGGGAGGTTTGTAGGAAACTAAGAAGCGGAGGTCTCTGGGGTGCTCAGGTTCCCCTAGTGCAATACATGGCCACCCTCCATGCCATGAGGGAGTGGGTCCAGGACCCCCTGGAGTTATGCAATCTTGCATATGTCCAAGTTCCTTCCATAGAACAGCACAATATTCACATCTCATTCACACTCACCCTCTCATGTACTTTACATCATCTCTGGATTACTCACAATACTCATGCAATGCAAATGCTATGCAAACAGTTGTTGCACTGTATCTTTCAGAGAATAATGACAAGAGAAAAGTCTTTGCACATTCATTACAGACACAGCTATCTTAACCACACGGTACCTGAGCAGATAGGTGAAAAGTGCTCAAGTAACATTGAGTGCTGGAGCAAGACAGAGGCCTGCGACGTGGTAGACATTGGTGCGTGTGCAACATAGCACCCAGCATGCTGTAAGTGCAAGCTCTGCCTTTTGGAACTTTCTGGAACTTAAAGAATTTGTTGAGAGTTGGTTGCGTGCATAGATGCAGAACTCACAGATACAGAAGGTGGACTAAAAAGCTGCTGCTCTCACAAGGCAGGAGACAGCTCACAAAGAGGACCCACTAGGATGAACAAGAGCGAGCCGGGTGGAGAGGAGACAGCCTGCCCTATCCCCCATCCTCCTGTTCCCAGAGTCTGGGCAGAGCACAGGGCGCCCTCTATAGGTGGGTAGGACTGGAGCCTGTCTTGTTCAAATCTCAGAGGGTAGGCGTCGCACATGAGCATGGTACTCTGTCCTTTCATCAGCTTCCATTCTAGGGCTCCCTGAGGAGAACTCCTCCTCTTCCTCAGACACAGAACGGTAAGAGTCTTACTGCTTGGTTTTCTTAGCGGCATCATGAAGGAAAGCTCCCAGCTGCCAGAGCTGAGGATTCATTGCTGACCTTTCTCAGCAGTACTCAGAGCTGACAGGAGGCAGGCGGAGGGCCTCAGGTCCTGCCCAGCAGCCTCGGAGGAGCTCTTGGGCAGCCTACCAGGGGTCTGTGTCCAAGCATCATCATGTGCCGCAGTCTCTTCTTACCCTTCCTTACTTATCTGACTCCAGCCCCACCCAGAGAAACATCAGCTGAAAGTCCTTCCTAAACACAGAAATGTTTTCAAGAGGGAAGAGGTGTGTCCATGTGTATGTTTTTGCTGTATTGTTTACAGCACATTTTCACACACTGACTTCTGCCATTCTTAAGCTTCAGCCCCCAAGCACAGGAACAGGCGATTCCAGATGGATGCTGTGTGCGTCCCGAGGTACCAGCAGACCCGAGCCCTGAGACCCAGCAGACAGCGGTGATCTACCATCGTGCTGCGGTGGGTTGGTGTTACAGTGTCTCACTGCTCCTGCAGGAGTTTCGCCGCCTCCCAGAGGCTAAACACTCCCCTGGCACAGCCCTGATCCTTCCCCACTCTGACAATTCCCTCGCTCTATGGCCTGGGTCGTGTCATGGGACATTTGGGCACAGCTATTTCTGTGCCTCCCAAAGTATGCGAGGATCGTTCTGATCGAACCGTTCATCCATGCAAACAGCAGTGCTGGGGGTGGAAAAGGGACACTGGTGCAGGCCTGGCAAGTGCTCTGCCACTGAGCTGCACCCTGACACAAACAATATCACTCAGGCATCCTCTACGTGCTAGCTGCTGGGAGAAAGCAGGGGATAGAAGAGACACAGTCCCTTTTCATATGGAGCTTCCAGCCTCATGGACATTAAATGGCTAATTAGACACTTTACTATTTAGTGCAGTTATTACTAGTGTGTAAGGAGCTACTGGGATGTGAGGAAGCCCATAAAGCAATCGCCAGGACTAATTTAGGGTGTCTGTGAAGGATGCTTTTAGGAACCACTGTGCTTCATTAAGTCAAAGATGTCACCGATTGTAACACCTGCTATTATCGTAGGCACCATCAAGAAAGGAAAAATGCTTCCAATTAAATATGTGAAGAGGCTTTCTTAGGACATAGAGCATTCAGTTCACTTTAATTTGGCATAGACTTTGGTCAAGTATTATTTTGTACATAGCTAAGAGAGGAAATGTGAACACGACAGTTATGTTTCTAAGGAATTCCTAGAATTTCTTTATACTGAGCCAGTCCAATTGCTTTCAAGGCAGAGTTGTGGGTGCCCTGGCTTTTCCACATAGTATCATTCTCTGTACCATTAACAGCACCGATGATATGATATTTCTCAAAAGAATCCATAAAAGAAGTAAAAGCTATCGGCACTGCGCTCTTAAGCCAAACGTGCAATTTTGTGGAGCTAACCTCTTCTTGACCCCTGCTTGGGGAACATTGCTCAGCAGATATGACCTGCTGCCTCCTCCGTGCCACACCACAGCCATTTGCTTCCTGGGGGTCACAAGGGGCCCCCCATGCTGTCTCCAGGACTTGCTGCTAAACCACCAGCTGCATCTTGCATACTCTGACTCTGGCACTGTTGATGCATTCTCACACAGACAAACATCTACATCCCGACAGCTACCAGCCAACCGCCCACACCAGTTTGAGGCACCTCAACTTCAGAGATGTTGAAATGTGGGAGACATATTTGAAAACAAGAGAACATGGTCGTTTCTGAGATTTTGCAGATGAGCAGGAACTATCAAAGTATAAAGAGGGTTTTGAAGAGAGGGACTATCTTTGTCATTTTTTTTTTCTTTTGGCCCCTGGGACAAAATACTTGACACTCACAGGTTAGGGAATGGAGATTTTATTTTGGCGTACATGTTTAGTCCATAGTTGCCTGGCTCTGAGACAGTAAGGCCTGGCGGAAGGGCCTGGGCTGAGGAAAGCTGCTCACATCATGATAGCTAAGGGCCAGTGGGAGGAGAGATGGGAGGGAGGTGTGCCGCTCCAGTCATGGCCCTAGGACCATGACTTCTGACCAGCTCTGACTCCTAACAGCAGGGCAGCTGTACCATCCCCATAATTCAACCTATGAGGCTCTAGGGGGACATCTGGCTGTAAACCATGACAGGGACAACCCTCACCGAGGCTCAGAGGTGAGGGAAGGAATGGTGCCTTTCAGATTAAAAATACCTGTGCTAGAAAAGGGGATTCTAGGTGCTCTCAACACACACACACACACACACACACACACACACACACACACACACAAATTGTAAACGTTTGAGGTGGTAGCTATGGTAAACACCTTGATTTGGTTTATTGTACAGTGTACATGAGTACTGCAACGTCATGTTGTTCCCTATAAAGATGAACAGTTATTATGTGACAATTAAAACCATAAGCAAGTGGCCAGGCGTGGTGGCCTGTAATCTCAGCTACTTGAAAGGGGGAGGCAGGAGAATCACAAGTGTCAGGCTAGCCTGGGCAACTTAATGAGAACGTGTCTCAAAATAAACATTTCAAAGTCTGGGAATGTAGCTCAGTGGTAAAGCACCCCTTGCGTTTGATTCCTAGTATTGCAAATAAGCAAATATGTAAATAAATAACCGGCGGTGACAACAAATGTCAGTTGTCTATCACCAAGGAAGAGAGGAGAGACAATCAGGATCGCAGCTAGCTGAGGAGGGCTCAAGCTCAGGCATGTCCTTGTCAGTCACGTTATGGGCATGGAATGGAATTTCATCCTCACGGCAGCAGGAATCCCTTTCCAGCAGGAAGTGACTAGGGAAGGGTGAAAGGAGCACCCAGTGAGTCTGGGGAGTGCAAATGCAGGGTGGAAGGTCACGGTCATGGTCATGGCAGCCCCAGGGCTGAGCAGCTTTGCAACTGGAATTTGCCGCTGGATTAGTGATGACTGAGAGAAGATGGGGGTGGGGGAGTGGGGGGGGTGATCATTCCGAGGCAAGGTCCTGGATCAGGCAGCAGAAGCTGCAGCAGGACCAGGTCTGGTGGAGGAGCAGCAGTGGTTCATTTCCACCAAGGTGCATCTGGGAGCTGCCCTGTACCTGTCTGGA